AGAGATCACACCACTGCACTCCAGCCTGGGTGATAGAGTGAGACTCCATCTCAAAACAAATAAATAAAATGAGTGTGTTAAAAAAAAAAGTATTTTTTTACAACTAGAATGTATTTGAGGAAGAGAAAATTTTAAGAAACCTTTTTTAAAAAAGGGTAAATGAACTATTCTCCCCTCAAGAGTTATTTATCTCTGGTAGTAACTATACCTAAGAAATAATAAGAGACCTACCTTTAAAGACAAACAAGGTAATGAATGATGCTTTGCATAAGCTCATGCAACAAAGAAAGCCTGGTCTTACTGAAGGGGAGTAAATGTACAAATCAGCCCTCAAACCTGGAGACTTCCCCTCTAGTTATAAACTGCTATATATACCAAGCTGCTGAACATGCAAATGAAGGTGTACCAAATATGCAAATGAATGAACCAAATGTGAATGGAAAGGTAGCAGAGGTTCCCAGACTGGTTAAAAGGCAACATCTAAGGCCAGGCGCGGTGGCTCACACCTATTAATCCCAGCACTTTGGGAGGCCGAGGCAGGTGGAGGATCACGAGGTCAAGACCATCCTGGTCAATATGGTGAAACCCCGTCTCTACTAAAAATATAAAAATTAGCTGGGCATGGTGATGCAAGCCTGTAGCCCCAGCTACTCGGGAGGCTGAGGCAGGAGAATTGCTTGAACCCAGGAGGTGGAGGTTGGGGTGAGCCTAGATCGTACCATTGCACTCCAGTCTGGTCTCAAAAAAAAAAAAAAGAAAGATAACATCTAACCTACAGTCTTGCTCATTTGCTTTGCCAAATAGTAGCAAATCTGTTACAGGAAGTCAGAGCCTCAAATTAAGTCTTTGCCAGACCCAAGAGGTACACATTGTTGTAAACAAATCCTTGATGCAGGTCTCCTCTGGCTACATCCTGGACTCTAAATAGGGGTATCAACTTTCATCAGAGGGCCTCTAAGCTTCTGGTCCCCACATCCACCCCATCTTGCCACATGTGCTAGAAATCTGTAGCTTGTCTTAACCCCCCTAGTTTCCATGGAGACGCAACAGTTTACTTCCCCCCCCAATTGTAAGCCACGGTTATTTTTAACTGGAAAACTCTGAGCCAGGTCACAGCTGGGATCTGGATGATGCAATGACGTCTATAGCCACCCTTCTCTCCCACAAACGCCTTCTTTTCCACAGTTGCTGAGGGCGGAGGCACTCCTGGGAGATTTTGCTCTCAAAAGCATTTCGATTTGCATCATGAAGTTAAAACCCATGCCCTGTCTTAGATCTGACAGGTGTCTTGAATCTGAAGCTATGGACACCCAGAACAAGACCAAGATTTTCTTGTTGGGGTTGACACCTATCTGTGGCTAGAGCTTAGATTAATGCTTCTACATCCTCCAGAGTGGCTTTATCACCCACAGTTTGCCCTTAAAAAGGCTAAAAAGAGGGTCCTACTAGGGGATATTGTGTGGAAAAGCTGTTACCCCACCTCTCCAAAGCAAACAAATATCTATGATCTCAGGGTCAGAAACCTGCTGTCTCCTCTACTACTGAAAGTTCAAATCAGTCCATCCATCTCAGTTAGAATCTTCAAGGCATTTCTAAACTTTTTGCTCCTTTTCAGTAATTTTGTGAAAAAGCTATTAAATTACTCTGAAAGTTGCCCTTTTCATCTCTGACAACTTCCTAAAGATTAGAAACTGAAATAAAAACATCAGTTTTCTTATAGGGGACACTGATTGGGCAAATACACTATTCCCCCCCACCCCGGCCCAGGAGTTATCTCTGGTAGTAACTGTAACAGAAATGGTAAGAGCCCACAGCCCAGATTCCACTGATTTTTCTTTTCTTTTTTTTTTTGTGATGGAGTTTTGCTCTTGTTACCCAGGCTGGAGTGCAATGGCCCGATCTGGGCTCACCGCAACCTCAGCCTCCCGGGTTCAGGCAATTCTCCTGCCTCAGCCTCCCGAGTAGCTGGAACTACAGGCATGTGCCACCATGCCCAACTAATTTTTTGTATTTTTAGTACAGATGGGGTTTCACCATGTTGACCAGGATGGTCTCGATCTCTTGACCTCGTGATACACCCACCCTAGCCTCCCAAAGTGCTGGGATTACAGGCTTGAGCCACCACGCCCGGCCTCTTTTTTTTTTCTTGAGACAGAGTCTCAGTCTGTCACCCAGGCTGGAGTGCAGTGGTGCGATCTCAGCTCACTGCAACCTACAACTCCCAGGTTCAAGTGATTCTGCTGCCTCAGCCTCCCAAGTAGCTGGGATTACAGCATATACCACCACACCTGGCTAATTTTGATGTTTTTAGTAAAGAGGGGGTTTGTCTCGAACTCCTGACCTCAAGTGATCTGCCTGCCTCGGCCATCCAAAGTGCTGGGATTACAGGTGTAAGCCACCACGTCCGGCCTCCATCAGTTTTTAACTTCTTAATGTTTTTATGTTTTAAAGGAATGCCATAAGTAAAGGGTGATAAGAATGAGGGGTGAGGGAGGGATCCAAATCAATAGTTACATATTGTTCAATAGGAAGAAAGGCTTAGGTAATTGCAAAGAATTTCAAAAATAGAGAGTATACTAGGCAGATAGCTTTCCAAGGAGAGATACATTAGAAGTGTCATGAGTTGGCACTTAGCTGTCAGTTCACTGAATAAGGGTGATTCAATGACAGCGTTTCAGCATTTCTGCTTTGATTAAGAAAGTGCTGGTTTCTTATAACAACTATGAGGCCTTCTCCTTTCCATACTTCCTAAGATGCTGATTCTGTTCAACATAACTCCAGACCAAGGAAGGTTTATTATAAACTACCTGGAAGCTTTTTGCCACCCATAGCCTCAGGGGAGACCAGACCAAGATGAAAAAAGTGTTGCTTGGTTAAGAACAGGAGGTTAATTCAACCAAATGATTAAGTTGGTGCCACAGAAATCCATTCTGCTGCTCTAAAGTAGAAAATAGGTGCATCAGACTCAATTATCCAGCCCAACTCTGGGCTAGCAAAATTTAACTATAGAGTTTTCTTTGTTAATCTTGGGATGATCCAGGTGAAAACTATAGTTTTCAAAGACAAGGGTAAGTACAGTGACCTTCAGGGCTACATCTATGAAATAAATTTTTTGTAGTTTTCAGGTTTTTTAACCTTTTAGTGGTAACTTCCTGTGCTATCTTCATTTCCTTATTCCCACTGCCAACAGGGAAGGGAACCTAGTACACAATGCATAGCAAGCTACTCAAGTGAAATACATCTTTCCCTTAAATAATGTGTCTGATTTGTAGCTTAGTCAAATCAAAGGGCAATTTGACTGCACTACACCTTTCATTGCAGTACACCTTAACTCCTGGAAGCCAAGGCAACAAACAGAAAAAGAACTCCCTGCCATGAGACACAGGAACTGGTTTTCCATGCTGCTCAGAAACTGTTCATTTGTTCCTTCCTCAAATGTAGCATACTAACACTTCAGTTCTGATGCATATTTCAAGGATTGGCTACTTTGGTTCCAAATTCCCTAATTAAAAGCTCTTTACTTTTTTTTTTTTTGAGATAGTCTTGTTCTGTCGCCAAAACTGGAGTGCGTGTCGGCTCATTGCAACCTCCACCTCCTAGGTTCAAGTGATTCTACTGCCTCAGCCTCCCTGAGGCTGGGATTATAGGTGTGAACTAGCACGCCTGGCTAATTTTTGTATTTTTAGTAGATACAGGGTTTCACTGTGTTGGCCAGGCTGGTCTCAAACTTCTGATCTCAAGTGATCCGCCCACCTCAGCCTCCCAAAGTGCTGGGATTACAGACATGAGCCACTGGCCTAAAAACTCTTCACTATTGTTCTCGCTCCCACATCAAGTGCCTGGGTCAGCAGGACTATTACTATTCAGGTTGCCATGACCCTGCTCCTGTTGTTTCACTCACATTTGACTCAAAAGGCCTAGGTATTGTTTTTTTGTTTTTTTTTTTTTAAGAGACAGGGTCTTGCCCTGTCACTCAGGTTAGATTACAGTGGCACAATCATGGCTTACTGCAGCCTTGACTACCCAGGCCCAAGCAATCCTCCCGCCTTACCCTTCCAAGTAGCTAGAACAACAGGCATGAGCCACCACACCCAGTTTTTTTTGTGGGGATGGGATAGAGATGAGGGTCTTGCTGTGTTATCCAGCCTGGTCAAACTCCTGGCTTCAAGTGATTCTCCCACTTCAGCCTCACAAATTGCTGGGAGATTACGGGCATGAGCCACTGCAGCACCCAGCCTGTGTCTGAAAGAGAAATCTTTTAGCTTGGCCGACTCTTCTACACAAGGCCACAGACATGGCAGTGTCCCAGTGTTTCAAAGATGGTCCTGACAGATGTGGGAGAGGTTAGCTGGATTTGGCTAAGCACACTGGAAAGGAAAACAAAGCTTCCAGATCAGCAGTACCTCTTGAATCAAACTTTTATCTAAATTTAAGTTTTAGAAATTCAAACAAATAAAAAGTCAGGTACATATAAGATACAGGAAACTCTTTTGTGTTGTCAAGAATAATGCAATGTATATTTGGAAGGTCCACAAAGATATCCTTAAAAATGAATGGGTGAAGTTCCCCCAGAATGCTCTTGAGAACACAGTGCCACTGTCTGCTTAAAGATGCACGAAAAAGTGGTTTTTGGAGGGATTCTAGGCATTAAGCTTTGCAAAGTTGGGTTTACCAAAGAAATAATAAAACTCATACATATGGGTTTTCCCAAACTGCTATGTAATTTGGCCTCTGATTCTTCACATTAGAGATTTTTTTCTCTTGTTACATACCTATACATTTCCTAAAGCTAGAATGACTTACAAACTGGGATTCTGTTGTTATTGATGAATGCCATTGGTTTTCTCCCTTTTCCATCTAATCCCCAGCTGAGAAGTTTTCAATGACTGGTTGCTTAACTGAGTTCAGATTTTAAAAGCAGGGGGAAGTTAAGACAGTTAATAAAAGGAAGGAAACCGGGACCAGGAAAAGATAAACTGTGAATATTTAGTATTAATTGGTCTCTCTCTCTCTCTCTCTCTCCCTTTTTTTTTTTTTTTTGTTTTTGGCTAGAGTGGAAATGGTGCGATCTTGGCTCACTGCAACCTCTGCCTCCCAGGCTCAAGCGATTCTCTCGTCTCAGCCTCCCGAGCAGCTGAGATTACAGGCATGCGCCACCACGTCCTGCTAATTTTTTGTATTTTTAGTAGAGATGGGGTTTCTCCATGTTGGTCAGACTGGTCTCGAACTCCTGACCTCAGGTGATCCGCCTGCCTCCGCCCCCCAAAGTACTGGGATTACAGGTAATTGGTCTCTCAAGAGAGAGAGTCTTGGTCTTCGGGCACAGAGAAGGGTCATTACATGGAAAGAGATTTGTTCATTTCCCACCACCTAGAAAAATATGCATAAAACTCCAGCAGAAACCTTTAACAATAAATTGCAATAAAAATTTCAGTAAATAGGTCTTATTCATGTCATTGAGTTTCAGGGTAAACTCTCTTCTGAGACAATCTGGACTAGGAGAGACCTCTGTCAGTGTAGCTGGTTTATGGCCAACCCTGTCTAGAAGAAAAGAGGAAGGATGCAATGCTATGTATCTTTGCAAAGTTGGGTTTACCAAAGAAATAATAACGCTACTTTCTAAAATCTAGTCATTTAAAACTTCGGTCTTATTTTTCTATTACTATTTTCAACCATATCATTTTTCTCATGAAGTCTACTGATTTTCCATCAGCTTTTCAGAGTTCAACTGGTTCCAAGGTTTCTGTCAGACTGTCCTACCATCCTCCCACTCTTAACTACCCAGCTGCCCCTTGTGTTCCAGACAAGTAAATCTCTTGGCACCACTTTCCTTACACCCACTGCTGCCTCCACATCGTCCTCCTCCCCGTGTGTGGAACTGTCTCCCACTTCCATCTGCCATTTCTCTCTCTCTTCTCTATCATATGATTGCCCCAAAAGCCCACCTCTCCCAGGAAGCCTTCCTTAATCAAGGTTAAAGACTCTTCAAACTACAACAAACATCACCTAACACTGATGTCTAATGCATCCCAACTGTTCAGAACAGGAATTACCTTTCAGGGATAAGCAGCAATCCCGTCACAACCAACTAAGGGTGATGGTAGTGGTAAAATGTTTTCTATAAGATGTGACTATACAAAGAAAATAGAGCATTTCCACATGTCATTCTTTAAAAAAAAAAAAAAAAAATTAAAGTCCTCTATTTGAATTCCCTCAGATCCTAAGAGTGTCTTTTTCATTTTTCATCCCCTAGATGAGGTCCCTTCCCAGCTGCATGCATATTTACAACAGTCAAAAGTTTGAGCAGATGCTTCCAACAAAGCATACAACCTTTTAATTAGATGTTTGAATATAGAAGGAATTAAACAATCAGTCAGCTATTCAATGTGATTTGTGTAGATTCTGACCAAGTTATTTCTATATACAACTTTGTTTCTAACAGAAATGAGATAACCATGGCTATGCGTTTGGCTTGTTATTTTGCAGAAAGGTTTGAGAACCAAGTTTCAGATGTGGTGGGGCTACTCACCCTCACATCTAGTGAGTCCCATATATAAAGCTGCTTTACTTCTGCTTTAAAAGCAGCTTTTATTGCAGGCTAGTCTTTCACCATTGAGAAATTAGGGTTCAAGTCTCAATCCAAGCAAAGCTGAGGTCTGTTGCATCATCTCCATCCTCAAGGACTTGGTATCCTGGGAAACCCAGGACAAGAACAGGGTGAGTTCAGGACACATATGTCAGCAGACAGTGCAGCGTGATGGGGCGGGCATCCAACACCTTAAGTGTGTTTTAGTTACCAGAATATCTGACACACCCACAAATTAAATAGCAAAACATTTTAATCAATTAATTCTAAAAATAACAGAGACATGTTATATCCAGTGCCACTTCCTCAAAAGTCTACTGCAGATTAGACAGGCAGACTGCAAAGTACACAGTCAGACATTAAAATTTTGGTTTATTTATTTTTTTTTGAGATGGAGTTGCCTAGGCTGGAGTGCAGTGCTGTAATCTCCGCTCACTGTAACCTCCGCCTCCCGGGTTCAAGTGATTCTCCCACCTCAATCTCCTGAGTAGCTGGGACTACAGGCATGTGCCAACATGCCCGGCTAATTTTTGTATTTTTAGTAGACACGGGGTTTCACCATGTTGGTCAGGCTGGTCTTGAACTCCTGACCTCATGATCCAACCACCTCAGCCTCTCAAAGTGCTGGGATTACAGAAGCTCGGCTGGAGTTAAAGATGCAGTCTGGGATAAGACCATCATAAGAATATTTTCTTCCCCTTTACTCATAAAAGTTGTAAGCTTAGGCCAAGCGTGGTGGCTCACACCTGTAATCCTAGTACTTTGGGAGGCCCAGGTGGGCAGATCATCTGAGGTCAGGAGTTAAAGAGCAGCCTGGCCAATATGGTAAAATCCCATCTCTATTAAAAATACAAAATTAGCCAGGCATGGTGGCAGGGTGCCTGTAGTCCCAGCTACTTGGGAGGCTGAGGCAAGAGAATCGCCTGAACCTGGGAAGCGGGGGTTGCAGTGAGCTGAGATTGCACCACTGCAGTCCAGCATTGGCGTCAAGAGTGAAACTCCATCTCAAAAAAAATGTTGGGCTGGGTGCGGTGGCTCCCACCTGTAATCCCAGCACTTTGGCAGGCCAAGGCGGGTGGATCACGAGGTCAACAGATCGAGACCATCCTGGTCAACATGGTGAAACCCTGTCTCTACTAAAAAAAATACAAATAATTAGCTGGGCATGGTGGCGCGTGCCTGTAATCCCAGCTACTCAGGAGGCTGAGGCAGGAGAATTGCCTGAACCCAGGAGGCGGAGGTTGCAGTGAGCCAAGATCGCACCATTGCACTCCAGCCTGGGTAACAAGAGCGAAACTCTGTCTCAAAAAAAAAAAGAATGTTGTCAACTTAAAAACCCTTAGAAGAGAGCTTTCTTATGCTATAAAACCTTTCTCTTTATTTTAAATCTGTCTGCAGTGTTGGAAGGCAAAGCAGATCATCAGCAAACTTACCTCTCAATATAAGGATCTGGGCCGGACTCAGGACTAAAGACTGTGATTTAGTTCTATTTCTACCAGCACTGTGATGTGAGGTACTATGGTTCTTTTAGTTACAAGAGGTGTTAGGAATGAATGCCCACTCACATTTAATAATAGCTTATCTAGCAAACAACTCTGCAGCACAATACTAACAACAGGAGTGTTTTAAAGCAGGATGAAGAAGAAAGCAGACTTTATACAATTTAAGGTTTCCTTTGTCCTTGCCCCTTTTTTTCAAAATGAAAATTTCCCCTTTTCAAAATGAGAATTCAACTGAAAAACAAAATTCTCCAAAATGCCCATATTGTCCTTTGATCCACCACATTCCAAACTTCTGACTTCTGATCCCAAGCCCTTAGAGCATCAGCCTTTGGTGATGTATCCTTCGCGGATGAGGAAATCATAGATTTTCCGGGTTTTGTTCACATCTATCTTGATGAGTGCTCTTGCCTGTGCTAGTCTTAAGCCTCCTTGCTTGTTACATTCGTTCAATAGAGCAGATTTGTATTCTAAATAGGCTCCAGGGACCAACCTCACCATCTGACAGAGCTGCAAGACATGGCAAATTTAATAAACATTAACATCTGTCAGTTTTGTAATTTAATCTAGCAGGTATAGCAAAAAAAAATTTTAAAGTGACATCAACCTCCAGCTATTTATAGGAGCTGATGGGTGGCTGGACTACATTCCATTTAGTCACTTCCTCTGTGGAGAGAACACTCCCTAAGGACAGACACCCAGGAAGAGAAAGCCAGGGTGTGATGCTACGAGAGCCTTTAGCACGTGCCAGCTGGCTCAGGGGCCTGGGTTTGTTGGAGATTACAAATACGTACTCCTGAGGAGCAGCGTAGCTCATTCAGTAGTCAAACGCTAAATGCCCAGGTACAGTCCCAGCACTAATGGTCAAGGAAGAGCCATGGGGCACAGTGAGGGCAGGATGCACAGATACTTGGATTCTCAAGTGTGCATCACATTGTTTCTAATACCAGCATAAAGCAGTAGTCCCTGCTTTGGGGATTACATGTACTTCAAAGGGAAAGGAGATAGAGAGACCTTGCTAAGAGGAGGTGACTTTAACTGCTAAAAATCTAGAAAACTGCCACAGTATTCAGCAACGAGGAGTCTGAGGTCATCAATATGTGGAGAAGGATAAAAGAAGGCTTGAAATTCCAGGCCATTCAGTATTTGAATCAGACTGGCCTATGACCTTCTTCAGCAATACATAGATACTACATACATTTTCCTTCTACTCCCAAACTAATTCTTACTGTTCCTGGTGGATAAAATAAGACTAACACTGTTACCTACACTATGACCCTTTTTTATTATCTGAACTGAACTAATGATATAGGGTGGGAGAAGTGGGGCTGACCTTGGGAATTAAAAAAGGAGCATATGAGGAGCAAAAGAGAAATTCCTCCAAAAGAGTAACAGACTTCAGAGATGTGACACAGTTTTCTGAAAACTCCTGATGACGATTCTTATGAGGCTGGATTTAAATTTTAGAAACAATAAAATCAATATGAAGACAAGTCTAATGATTGCAACTGGAAAAAGTAGGTCACATAATTTTTAAAATCAGGCCGGGTGCGGTGGCTCATGCCTGTAATTCCAGTACTTTGGGAGGCTGAGGCAGGTGATCACCTGAAGTCAGGATTTTGAGACCAGCCTGGCTAAGGAGGTGAAACCCTGTCTCTAATAAAAATACAAAAATTAGCTGGGTGTGGTGGTGTACACCTGTAGTCCCAGCTACTTAGTAGGCTGGGCAGGAGAATTGCTTGAACCCGGGAGGTGGAGGTTGCAGTGAGCCAAGAATCACGCCACTGCACTCCATTCTGGGCGACAGAGCGAGATTCCGTCTCAAAAATATATATATATATGTTAAAAAAAATTTTTTAAATAAAAATTAACATGACTATATGTTTCCTTATATTTATAAACATGCTCTGGAAACAATTTACAAAACTGTTTTAATTATTATACTGTTAGAATAGGTCTAGAACTTTTCAAGGTGGCCATTCTAATAGGAAATACCTATTTTCATGTAAAAGTTACTTAGTTTAGGTTTCCAAAAAATCAATTTTATTTATATAAAGCACTTAGTACAGTAGCAAATGCTAAGTGCTCAATAGCTGATAGTCGCTATTATTATGTAATTTACATACCACATGTGCTTTCCCCAAAAGAGGAATGGTGGTAGGGTGACAAGCAATTCTCTGAAATCTGCCACAAACGGCTCTTTAGTTCTTGGACTTCTAGGATACACTGAAGCTGTGCATATATGTTAAATGAGTGAAACAAAACGGGTTTAACTCTATAATGGATTTTTTTTTTTTTTTTTTTGAGACGAAGTTTCGCTCTTGTTACCCAGGCTAGAGTGCAATGGCATGATCTTGGCTCACCGCAACCTCCGCCTCCTGGGTTCAGGCAATTCTCCTGCCTCAGCCTCCTGAGTAGCTGGGATTACAGGCACACACCACCATGCCCAGCTAATTTTTTGTATTTTTAGTAGAGACAGGGTTTCACCACGTTGACCAGGATGGTCTCGATCTCTTGACCTCGTGATCCACCCGCCTCAGCCTCCCAAAGTGCTGGGATTACAGGCGTGAGCCACCACGCCCGGCCCTATAAAGGATTTTTAACGACAACTAAATGAATAATCAGCCCCTATTCTCTTTCCCCTAGCCCCCTCCTTTTTGTTACCTCCTTTTCTTTTTCATTCAGCTTCTCTGTGCCAGGGAGGCCCGTGAGGTTCAAGGGTGGTGCACTCCGTCTACCTATAGATAGAGAAAGGAAAGAGCATAGATTTAATAGGAGCGACAACTTTTTAGGTATAAAAGTATTAAAAAGTTCAGTGTAGCCAGGCCAGCTAGGTATAGTATCACTGTATTCAGCTTAGGAAATCCTGTCTCATTCCCTCAGAACTCTTTAGCTAGCAACATGGGCACCCCAACATTCACTTGAAAATAAGAATGAATTACATATTCAGGGCACATGAATTACCTACAATCTGCTAGAATATACATACAGTCACATGTACCTTAGCATCAAATGTAACTACTCACCATAGTAGTTATCTTTTATTTATTAGTTTTTTGAGACGGGGTCTTACTCTGTCACCCAGGCTAGAGTGCAGTGTTGCCATCATAGCTCACTATAGCCTCAATATCCCTAGCTCAAGTAATCCTCCTGCCTCAGCCTCCCAACTACCTGGGAAGACAGGCATGTGCCACCATGCCTGGCTATCACCTATTTCTTCCTAACCATATAGGAGACTCTAAAATCTGAAGAACAGATGTCACCCAGTTAAGAAAGGTCACACACTGCCTGCCTTGACAGCTGATGAATGGAAATAACTGCAGGAGAGACATTCCCTAATCCTTGCCACTCTGCCAGCAGTACAAGGCAAACACAGTAATTAACCAAGTACTGTGTGCCTTCAGATCAAAGACTGAGAGGCCAGCAAAAGGCCCTTCTTTTTTATTATGTGAGGGGATATCTGTTCCTTCCAAAGTAGCCCTGTTTACCTATCCACAAACAGGAACAATGAGCCATTATATGGCAAAGCAGGGGCTGAGGTAAACTCACATACCTGAGAAAGAAACCCAAGTAGGAGGTCACTGGCCAGAGGGCGAAGCTTAATGAGCAAAACTTTTTTGGTTTTGTTTTGAATGTATGTTAGGGATTGGTGTTCAGCTGGGAATAGACCAACTGAGTTAAGCAAAGAAAATGTTGAAGTTTTGTAGAGGCTGCTTTTCAAGTGGGGCAGAGAAAGGGGAGGGACTGTTACAAGCTGCTCTCGTGGAAAACAGCCTTCTCTGTTATGTCAGCAAAAGGCATAAGGGATTCTCCCAAATCCTCAAAAAGGGAGATAAAATTATCTGGTTTCTCACAAAAGTCCCCAGAGGCTAGACTATAATCAAAGATGCCAGGCTTCCAATACATCGATGCCTTAAGAACTCAACATAAAGGAGGGCAAGAGATCTCCTCAGCCTAAACATAAGGGTCAAGAAAGGCTAACATCAGTGTAGGAACAAACAATGAACAAGAGGCCGGGTGCAGACCCTCACACCTGTAACCCCAACATTTTGGAAGGCTAAAGCAGGAGGATCACTCGAGCCCAGGAGTTCGAGACCAACCCAGGCAATACAGTAAGACCTTGTCTCTATAAAAAAAAAAAAAAAATTCGCCAGGTTTGGTGTCACAAATCTGTAGTCCCAGCTATTCAGGAACTGAACTGGGAGGATCACTTAGGCCTGGGAGTTCAAGGCTGCAGTGAGCCATGATCACACACTGCACTCCATCCTGGACAGTAAAGGGAGACCCTGTCTCACAAAAAAAGAAAAATAAACAATGAACAAGTCCATGCAGATGGTTCAGAAAACAAAAATCTGTGATCATGTTAGCCAGTTCCTTTATTTAATTAATTTATTTTTATTTTACTCTGTCACCTAGGCTAGAGTATAATGGTGTGATCTTGGCTCACTGCAGCCCACCCCTCCTGGATTCAAGCAATTCTCATGCCTCAGCCTCCTGAGTAGCTGGGATTACAGATGTGTACCACCATGCCCAGCTAATTTTTGTATTTTTTTTTTTTTTTCCAGGAGAGATGGCGATTTACCATGTTGGTCAGGCTGGTCTCCAACTCCTGAACGCAGGTGATCTGCCTACCTCAGCCTCCCAAAGTGCTGGGATTACAGGTGTGAGCTACCACACCCAGCCCAGTTCCTTTATTTTAGCTGGTATTAGCTTAGTTGTATTTACATTTTGGGGGCAGAGTGTTGGCAATAAGAAACTTATAAAATAAAACATGGATTTCATTATCTTGGCTACTCCCCTAAAAGGCTATCTGTTTTCCCTTCAGTCACCAAGGATCATCAAATAGTATATGGCTTAATCTTGCTCTGTATACTAATCTCAAAATAGGACGTACTCAAAGAGGTAACACTAAGAAATAGAAATACTTTAGGTCTCCAGCTTAGAAATCCTTATGTTTCTAGCAGATAACACATGCTTCTTTGCTCATGTTATATAAAAATAAAAAGCTTAGTCTGGGCACAGTGGGTCATGCCTATAATTCCAGCACTTTGGGTGGCTCAGGTGTGAGGAACACTTGAGATCAGGAGTTCGAGACCAGCCTGCCCAACATGGCAAAACCCTGTCTCTACCAAAAACATAAAAATTAGCCAGGCGTAGTGGCGCACGCCTGTAATCCCAGCTACTCAGGAGGCTGAGGCCGGAGAATCACTTGAACCCAGGAGGCGGAGGTTGCAGTGAGCTAAGCTCATGCCACTGCACTCCAGCCTGGGAGACAGAGCAAGACTGTCTCAAAAAAAATAAAAAATAAAAAAAAAAAGCTCTTAATTTATCTCCTGTGAAATAAGTCTCAAAATCAGTGGTAGATACAACTGCGGTAATCTAACTGCTCATGAACACTGGTAAAATAAAGAAGTTATCTTTCTAAAGTTCTTTCTTCCCGTTTCTATACTGTCACTCTGAGGATAGTCTCTGTCTGGCCATGAAGATTCTGAAAACATACTGATGTTTATATATTGGGCTAACACTTGATTACCATTACTCTGCCTAAGCATCCTGACACCACAGAGGAAGAAGGATTGCTGGGTCACCATAGCCCCTAACAATGCAAACTTCACAATTAAGACTTGTTCTGGCCAGAGAAATAATTACCTGAATTTGAAGCTACTGGAAGAGAAGGACTCAGGCCGGAATCGCTACAATGAAGAAGAGGAATTTAAACTTAGGTCATATCAAACAAGGTGATTTCCACAAGCCCCTGTGGGACTGAGTGCCATTTATCAGATAGGTCACTTTGAAGAAATGTAATGAGATAGACTGAATTATGTTTTATAGACTTCTCACTATATTGAACAGAAAAGAAAATCTGTTCTGAGAAGAAAAATTCCTCAGATTTGTTAAGAAGAGCTTGTAATCGAGAACACCACTAACACCATTCAAGGGGAAAGGACACAAGCATGATTCTCCAGTGAATATCTAGATATGAAGAGGGAGTTAAAGTCATGGATAGAAGGCTGAGGGAAAATTCACTCATTTTTAAAAATATGACCAAAGTAGTAAAGTATGATTCTAGGAGGTCAGTTGTTTCTCAAAACTGTCAGTATGGCACTGTTTCTGAGATGGACTGCTAAAATATTTCTGAATTCTTCTAGCTACTCAATTATTATTACTCTGTCATCTAGAGTGCCCAAAAATACATGAGAAGACCTAGGCATCCCAGAAAGACTGGCTCCTTCTCCCTGGACTAATTACTTACATGTCAGCTTGCCGGCGGAGCCACTGCTGGCAAGCACTACTGTCCTGGATATACTGGAGAACTTCAGAGAGCATAGTGCGTTTAACGCGCTCTTCCTCCCGGGTCTTCTTGAGGTGATCGTAGGTTCTGGCACCTGGGGGTATAGAAAACACAATGACCGCAATTGACGATGCAGGAGAACTGAAGGGCTTCCTAAATGAACGAGAAACTGGTTTTGAAGTTTTGTTCTTAAAGTTTGTTTCCTTTGCAAACTGCTTTCACAATTATTTCTCTAAGACCCAAGTAGATTTTCCCTAGTGTGAAATCCTTTTCTTAAATATTTGTATTCTTTTTCTATCTATAAGAAACCTGGGAGAAAAAAATCATCATAAAAGTACAAAGAAAGCAAGAATTGCTCATATTTCCACCCTCAAAAAGTAATCAACTTTGACTATAGTCATACTTGCTTCCTGTTTTTTCTATTTTTATAAAATTTTTCTAAGTGACACAAGTGCTTTGTGCCTTTCCTTAAAAACCAATTAGAATTACAAAAAAGTGTTCTCTTTGACATGTAGTACTCCTTCCATATTTCTCAGAGGCAGCCAATATCAGGAAACCAAAATTAGTTATGAGAGTCTCTGTATGCATCTTGCTAAACAGAAGAGCTGCATGGTGTTTTCTACATGTTAACAAAGGTTCACAGATTCCAAAATACTATACCAGTGGGGGTTTCAAAATTGAAACTAAGTTTAATAGAGCCCCAGGATACCATTGGAGTATCTTAGAGGTTAATGTAAAGAGAAAGTGCACTGCCAGATACCAGACTCTATACATAACTTGAACCATTAAAATTCAACCAAAGTAATTCTACTTTTATCTTATTTGTAGATTAGGGCTCCACACAAAATTTAATTTCAAAAATGGTTTCCACTGTTAACGAACCATTATACTAAGCTGAACTTTACATCCATAAGGCTATGTTGTACCCACAGGGTTATGTTAAGAAGCCAACTATTTCTTATAGGTAGTAAGTGATAGCTGTCCATAATCACAAAGACTTCAAATAGGAAGGAAGGAATGCTCTAGCTCACTCCAACAATGATAGCAAAACAACAGATACTGCCATTTATTGAGGATTTATTGTGTGCCAGATACTATGCTATGCTTATATGCACTATCTCTAATTAAATCTTTACACTAACTCATAGATACCTGCTAATAATATAATTATTGTCACTACCCCCAAGAAACTGGAATGTAAACACTTGGAGCCAGTGGAAGCTTGATTATTTTATAAAAATGCTAAGACCATGTATTATTAAATTTGAAAAGGGTGACACACCTTACATGTAAAATTTTTTTTTTTTTCGAGACAGTCTTGCTTTGCTGACCAGCCTAGAGTGCAGTGGCACAATCTCGGCTCACTACAACCTCTGCTTCCCAGGTTCAAGCAATTCTTGTGCCTCAGCCTCCCTAGTAGCTGGGATAAAAGGTATGCACCACAACACCTGGCTAATTTTTGTATCTTTAGTAGAGATGGGGTTTCATCATGATGGCCAGGCTGGTCTCAAACTCCTGGGCTTAAGTGACCCACCTTCCTCAGCCTCCCAAAGTGCTGGATTACAGTCATGAGCCACTGCTCCCAGCTCAAGATTCTCTTTTTTTAAGGAACCTCAACAGAATCCTAAATCTAAAACAGCATCTCTCTTTCCTTTGTCTCACAACTTTTATTCTACCTCAGATAATCTATATAAAGGTATTTATAGGGATTAAATAGATGAAACGTTACTAGAAAGATTTAAAACATTCTGGAAAAGGAAAGCTTGTTTTTTTGTTTTTTTTTTGAGATGGAGTCTCACTCTGTTGCCAGGCTGGAGTGCAATGACAGGGGCTCAGCTCACTGCAACCTCCGCCTCCCAGGTTCAAACGATTCTCCTGCCTCAGCCTCATGAGTAGCTGAGATTACAGGTGCCTGCCACCGTGCCCAGCTAATTGTTGTATTTTTAGTAGAGATGGGAGTTTCACCATATTGGCCAGGCAGGTCTCAAACTCCTGACCTCGTGATCCGCCACCTCAGCCTCCCAGAGTGCTGGGATTACAGGCGTGAGCCACCACAACTGGCCAGAAAGTTTTTTTTTTTTAAATGCACAACTCAGGTACTTCTTCCGTGTGTTAGGAAGAGACTTCCCCTCAGGTACGGTAGGTAGCTGAAGCATACTTACTACAAAAATTGGTAATGCCTGCTGTCCTATATTCTTGGAGCCTCTTGATTTCCCTTCGGAGTTCAAACTCCACTGTTTTACCCAAAAAGAATGAAGGAAAAAAAATTAGAGAAACAAAAGAAACATCAGTGAGCACTTTTGCTATTGAGCATTTTCAGTAATTCTGCCTATTATAAAAGACTAGGCAAGTTCATTTGAAGAATCCTATTGTTGGTAACTTTTCATTAGAAATTTTACCCAAGAGCTGAGGAAAACCTACTCCAGCTGTCTTCCAGCTGCGGTCTCCAGAGGTAGCAGCAGTAACTGTCTTCTAGAAACCTTAGTGAAACGGCTGAATTCGTTTGTCTACAAAAGTAATACATATAATTTTTTTAACAACCAAATTTGCCTGCTCTATCTTCTGTTAAAAGTTCTACCCACATGACCAAGTTCTTTTATGAAATCTGTCTGATATTACTTGATGTGGCCCTGATACAAGGGAAGGACAAGAGCTCTGTGTGCAAGCCCCAGTAAATTTCTTTACAGCTTTTTCCCTATTAGAACATAAGAGCATTGTGTTTTCCATAAACCAAAGATTTTTGCCTCCTCTGAGCACACAGATCAGGTTGTACTCTTTGGGTTATTAAATAATAGAACATTCAAATTTGGCTGCTTAAAAGAATGAAGGAAGAGCCTGGACAATCCATGGAGTGTAGTTATTTGGATTGACACATAAACCAGGGGTGTGTCCCAAACTGGGACAGGAAGTAAAGGATCAGTCACCTGGTACAAGTCACACAAAGAATGCCAACCAACCAAGGTGATTGATGAGGACAACCAACCTGGCTCAGATAAATGTCTGCAATGCTACGTAAGAAATATTTTATGATGAGAATAAGGGCCTTGGTAGAGTACCAGTACATTCTCAGAACTAAACTTAGGGGCAACATGAACAAATGCCATGATGAAAGGTACAGAATAAGCCAGAGTCTATATTAAGAGTCTAGGCCTTACTGCCATAACAACATTTTTTTTTGTTTTTAAACAGGCTCTCGCTCTGTTGCCCAGGCTGGAGTGCAGTGGCGTGATCTCTGCTCACTGCAACCTCCGCTGCCCGGGTTCAAGGGATTCTCCCACCTCGGCCTCCAGAGTAGCTGACACTACAGGTATGCACCACCATGCCAGCTAACTTTGGTATTTTTATAGAGATGGAGTTTTACTGTGTTGCCCAGACTGGTCTCTAACTCCCAGGCTCAAGTGATCCTCCTACCTCAACCTCCCAAAGTGCTGGGATTACAGGTATGAGCCACCACACCCAGCCTTATAACTTTTAATTTTCTTTGTTCGTTTTTTTTCTTTATTTAGTTTTTTATTTTAACAACTTTTAATTTTTTATGGTGAAAAATCAAATGGTAACTGGGTAGTGCTCTCACAGAAATACCACAGAAAGACAAGAGAACGATGGAAGTACTATCTCCACAAGCTATCCATCTCTGTCCTCATTTTTAAAACTACTTTTAGTACTAAGATATTTGTAAACAAAATAAAACGTCTGGGATTTGCTTCAGAATATCCAGTTGAGGGCAGGAGGGAAGGCAGTGGGTGATAAAGATGCAACCAGACTGGCCATGTGTTGAAAACTACTGAAGCTGGATGATGGATACACAGGAATTCATCATATGATTATCTCTACTTTTATATATATTTGAAAATACCCATGATAAAAAGTGGGGAGAAAAACTACTAAATTATTATTTATCTGGGGCGGTGGGGAAAGCCATGAGGGCTTTTTAACCTCTCTTCGCGACTCCCACAGTCCCAAATTTGTCTCATTGTAATAATGGGGAACAAAGACAGAAATATCCATTTATTTACAGAACTTCACATAAAACATCATTCTCTCTCTTACTTATATAAATACACAAATACTGCTCAAGGCTCAAAAACCACCTACATGCATGGCTTTCAATAAATTTGTCATGTTCCACTGGCCCCACAATTCTTGCAAATCGCCTCATTGTTTCATAAAGGTCCTGGACTTCCTTGGGATACCGCCGTTCCATTACTAAAGAGAAAAAAAAAGACATAAATGTGTCATGGGAAATGAAAGGTGACTAACTTACCCATGACAGGAAGCAAACAGGAAAGCCAAGAATACAAAACACTAAAATCATAATGATAATAGCATCACAGCAACTATCCCACAGGGATGTTATCACTGGAGATCATCTCCACCACTGAGCACTACCGATCTCCCATACCACACTTTTTTTTTTTGAGATGAAGTCTCATTCTGTCACCCAGGCGGGAGTGCAGTGGCATGATCTCAGCTCACTGCAACCTCTAATCTCCTGGGTTGAAGCAATTCTCCTGCCCCAGTCTCCCAAGTAGCTGGGCTTCCAGGTGCCCGCCACCACACCCAGCTAATTTTTACATTTTTAGTAGAGACGGGTTCACCACGTTGGCAAGGCTGGTCTCAAACTCTTGACCTCAGGTGATTCACCCGCCTTGGCCTCCCAAAGTGCTGGGATTACAGGCGTGAGCCACCATGCCTGGCCACCTCACTGTCTTTTAAACCACACAGGGGCAGGAAGTGCTGGCAGTAATGGACAAGAAAATTATAGGCAGAGCTTACATGCTTAGGAACAATTATGGCCAAAATTTATGGTATTAACTCCCACAGGAAAACAAGGAAACTATAGACACAAAATCCATCCAGAAGATTTGCCACTGCTGGGAAAAGTGTGATTTCTTGCATGTCCCACCTACACATCCTCAAGCAAGATACATATTTTTTCATTCTTCATATGGGTCATTTTGCCTTTCTCCAAACTGAATTAACTACTGTAACTTAATTTAGTCCTAATGAAGTTATATTTAACAACTGTCATGCAAATATCTTGCAGGGATGCCAGGGCTGCAACTCTGGGGATCACTACTGACGAAACAGCTAATCAAAAGACGTATCTGCAAAGAAGATGGAGAGTAAAACTGACAATAACTGGTAGACTGAGGCAGTCAGGAACTCTACAACCACTACTTGGGTCACTTCAATCTGACAATCAGTAATTAGGTTAGTTCTGTCTACTCTTAAAGATACAGGCTTTCATTTATGTCAGCTATTTTTTTTTTTCCTAGCTTACTTTTTTATTTTTTATTTCTGAGACAGTGTCTTGCTCTGTTGCCCAGGCTGGAGTGCAGTGGCACAATCACAGTTCACTGTAGCCTCCCAGGCTCAAGAGATTCTCTCACCTTAGCCTCCCAAATACCTAGGACTACAGGCACATGCCATCATGGTTGGCCTTATTTTTTTTTTCAAACAGAGATGGGGGTCTCCCTATGTTGCCTAGGCTGGTCTTGAACTCCTAGGGTCAATCATTCCTCCTGCCTCGGCCTCCCAAAGTGCTGGGATTATAGGTGTGAGCCACCATGCCTGGCCTATGACAGCTATTTAAATTAAGTCATCTTTTTAGGTGAATCTCTTCTCCTGCAGGAGACATTCTTATCCAAAAATTCGAGCAGCTGATTTAAGGAGCAGCCATAGATCATTTAAAAAAAACAAACCAACGACAACACAGAAGAATACGGAGTACAATTTTTAAATTTTAAGAAAAAAACAAAAAACAAAAAACAAAAAAAAAACCCTGCCTACCATATTAAGGTTAATTGTACATTCCGTATAATGGCAACTGAATATCTCTGAAACCACACTGCACACTCTACTTCTAAACTCTCAGAAGCAAAGAGCTTCCCCTCAGCCCTATATTTTAAAAAATATAGTTAATAGAATAATGAAGTCAAACTGACCTCTATCAGTTGAAAGTAGAACTTATGCAACAGTCAATGTCTTTGAGGAGTAAAGGTCAAAAACAAACCAAACTATTATGGAAAACTAGGGAATTCAGATAGAGAACTTACTGCTGTAGCTACTAGAACACAACCAATTAAATCTGATCCTGAGTTATTTTTGCAAATCCACAGGTCATAAGGACAGGGTTCAATAGGCAATCTCATACACTGCTAGAAGAAACAGATATTCATACAACCATCTTTTGGAAAGCAATTTGGTAGCAGGCATCAATAATTTTTAATGGTCACAGTTTTAGATGTATTAATCCCACTTCTAAAAATCTATTTAAAAAATCCTAAATAACGACAAAGCTTTATTCACAAGTTCATCACAGCATTATTTATGTAATGATTAAAAGAACTGAAAACAAGCTAAATACCTAAAGAGAGAAGTTATACATATAATTATATGTATATATACAACATATTTAACTATTAAAAGTATAGATCATGTACTCTGCTAAAACTGATATCCTCAAAACACTACAGTAACTTATAAAAAATGTGTAACATAAAGTGAAAACAAAGGAAATAAGGCCGGGCATGGTTGCTCACACCCATGATCCCAGCACTCTGGGAGACCAAGGTGGGCAGACTGAGTCCAAGGAGGTCAAAACCAGCCTGGACAACATAGCGAAACCCTGTCTCTACTAAAAACACAAAAAATTAGCTGGGCATGGTGGCACACGCCTATAATCCCAGCTACTCAGGAGGATGAGATGGGAGAATCACATGAGCCTAGGAGGTGGAGAATGCAGAAAGCTGAACCGCACTCCAACCTGAGCAACTAGAGTGAGACCTTGTCTCAAAAAATAAATAATAAAGGACATAAAATGTAACATATTTATAACCATGGCTATATATTTTTTTAAATACTATAGGTTTTCAGAGATGGGTCTTGCTCTATTGTCCAGGCTATAATATAATCGTGTCCAGTGGAATGATTATAGCTCACTGCACTCCTGGGCTCAAGTGATCCACTGCTTCAGTTTCCCAAGTAGCTGGGATTACAGGCACAAGCCACCATGCCTGGCTAGATATTTATTTATATTGAAAAGACACTTAACCTTGCTGTCTGAATCCTATAATGCTATGGATTATTAAAGAAATAACCCTACAAAAATCTAGAAACTGGGATATGTTTTACAATCATTAGGCACTTTTACAAAAAAAGAATATTATGACACACAACTATTATAAATATTTTCATACAAACATTGTAATTGTTATTATGATATCATTCTTCTTATTTGTGAATCAGACTCTACATGGTGGAAGAAAAAGTACCAGGACTTACGTATCTCTGTTTAAGTATCTCTGATATTTAAATTAATAAGGGCCAGGTGAGGTAACTTGAACCTGTAATAAGGAGGCTGAGGTGGGAGGATCACTTGAACCCAAGAGTTTAAGGCTGCAGCAAGATACCATCACACCATTGCACTCCATCCTGGGCAACAGAGCAAGACTCTGTCTCTTAAAAAACAAACCACAACAACACAGTAAGATCAAGGTGGCATTTAAAAATGACTGTGCTTATTTTTATCACCATCACATAATATTAAATGTCATTTATTTTGTCTGTCTACAACCATGCAAAATAAAGGTATCACTTTGTTAATTTTTATCTAATTTTTTTTTTTTTTTGAGACGGAGTCAAGCTCTGTCACCTGGGCTAGAGTGCAGTGGCACGATCTTGGCTCACTGCAACCTCTGCCTCCCAAGTTCAAGTGATTCTCCTACCTCTGCCTGGCAAGTAGCTGCAATTATAGGCACATGCTACCATGCCTGGCTAATTTTATATTTTTAGTTAAAACAGGAGTTTCACCATGTTGGCCAGGCTGGTGTCGAACTCCTCACCTCAGGTGATCCACCCACCTCAACCTCCCAAAGTGCTAGGATTACAAGTGTAAGCCACCACGCCCGCCTTATCTAAAATATTTTGCAAAACTTGACTCCAGATAACGATTAATATTCACACTGTAATTACTATACAAAAAGAATTTTAATACACGTTTTGTTGACTACAGATTAATACTTTTATTTTCCTTATTTGTTTATTTATTTATTTTTTTTTTTTGAGAGGGAGTCTCACTCTGTTGCCCAGGCTGGACTGCAGTGGCGCGATCTAGGCTAACTGCAACCTCCACCTCCTGGGTTCAAGTGATTCTTCTGCCTCAGCCTCCTGAGTAGCTGGGATTACAGGCATGTGCCACCACTCCTAGATAATTTTTTTTTGTACTTTTAGTAGAAATGAGGTTTCATTGTGTTAGCCAGGATGGTCTAGATCTTCTGACCTCATGATCCATTCACCTCAGCCTCCCAAAGTGCTGGAATTACAGGCGTTGAGCCACTATGCCTGACCCCAAATTAATACTTTTAAACTTTCACTATGGATCAGAATTGCCCTGAAGACTTAAAAATGCAAATCCTGTACCTCCAAACCCAGAGATTCTTACTTGATTAGTCGGGGGTGACAGGCATGCAACAGAATTTAGGTATCTTCGTAGGTGAGGCTAATATGCAACTTGGATTAAGAACTACAATACATGATTTATTTAAAAGTATTCAATAATATTGGGAAAATTGTAAGATAAGGAAAACTACTAATACTTACACTGAAACTTTCTAAGGTTGATTAATCCATGGTCTCTTATAATTCTAGAATGAAAAGCCACAATAATTTTCTGTATTAGAATTATTTTCACATTTAGTAATGCTTTCCACATACAGCTATCATTAGATATGTTAAACACTCTGAGGTAGAATACAGAGGTCCAAAAAAGTCACTCCCACAAACTTCTGCAGGTCAGTGAATCACTAACACAATTTTAGACTCTCAGGGATCACGGGTTTTTCCTCTCCTTGGGCACTGACTCTCAATGACTCTACTGACTCTCAATGACTATTTGCTGAATGAATAAATAAATGAATGAATCAATAACTACTCACAAATGCTGAAAAACATGTCTGTCACTTAAGATGAAACAGAAGGGAGAATCTCTGTCCATGTCATAAAATTAATCTATTCAGCTTGTGGAAATAATTGAGAACAGCCATTTTAGAGAAATCTGCTAAGTGTAAAAAGGCACCATGATCACATATTCAACATTTATAATAGTACATTCACACAACACTTTGATGCTACTAGAAATAAACATTGTGCATGTTTAATGAAAGGATATCATAAAACAAAAGATTTGATAGCAACATCAACAACTGAGTTCTACAATACTCTCCAGATTAAATTGTGTGTTTTAAGCAAAAGAGAATTTAAACCAGGTAGGGTTGTGTCTTGAATCTGATTTATACCAGAGGTATTTGTAACTAGCAATGAAGCTTCTCATAGGAACAACTGCGTATGCTTCTTCAGCACTACATGAAAGCTAACTCCAGACATGCAGAGACTAAGTTTTACTTTAGATCAGGGGTCCCCAACCCCTGGGCCATGGACCAGTTAGGAAACAGGCCACACAACAGGAGGTGAGCATCTTTATTGACGGAGCTCTGCCTCCTTTGAGATCAGCGGCAGCATTAGATTCTCACAGGAGCACGATCCCTATAGTGAACTGCTCATGTGAAGTATCTAGGCTGTGTGCTCCTTATGGGAATCTAACCAATGCCTGATGATCTGAGGTGGAAGTTTCATCCCAAAACCATCCCTGTCCCCCACCATCCATGGAAAAACCGTTGTCCATGAAACCATTCCCTGATGCCAAAAAGGTTGAGGACTGATGCTTTAGATGTCTTAGTTCCTCAAGAGTGCCTCTCAAGTCCCCCTTTTTTTTTTCCTTTCCCCTCCTTTTTTTTAAAAAGAGATAGTGTCTTCCTATATTGGCCAGACTGTCCTTGAACTCCTAGGCTCAAGTCATCCTCTCACCTCAAGTCATCCTCTCACCTTAGCCTCCCAAGTAGCTGGGACTAGAGGTTCATGCTACCACAACTGGCTTCTCTCCTTTTTATTGCTGAGATACCACTGTGTCTACAGTTAGTGATGTCACAGTAAATACATGCCTACACATATATGCACACACATGTACACTTAAACCCTCTGCATATTCTTCTCTAAAACCAACAAGGGTCTGAGATCCATAATTTCTAAGTCTGAATGTATACTTTTTGATATGTTGCAGAGAATAATCATCAGTCTGCCTGAAACTTGTTCAGAATTTCTTTGAAATCCTTTTAGATGAAAGACTTCTCCTGAAAAAATGAACAGTTAGAACAAGACCATTCAAAAAGCATAACAGGGCTAGGCACAGTGGCTCATGCCTGTAATCCCAGCATTTTGGGAGGCTGAGGTGGGTGGATCACCTGAGGCCAGGAGTTTGAGACCAGCCTGGCCAACACGGTAAAAATGCACATTAGCCAGGCATGGTGGTATGTGCCTGTAATCCCAGCTACTTGGGAGGCTGAGGCACAATAATTGCTTAAACCCAGGATGCAGATGCTGCAGTAAGCTAAGATCACCCCATTGCACTCCAGCCTTAGAGAGTGAGACTCTGTCTCAAAAAAAATAATAATAAAATAAAAATAAGATAAAAAAAGGTGTAACAGGCCAAGTGCAGTGGCTCACACCTGTAATTTCAGCACTCTGGGAAGCCAAGGCGGTAGGACGCCTCGAGACTAGGAGTTCAAGACCAGCCCAGGCAACATTGTGAAACCCCATTTCTAAAAAAAGGTTTTAAAATTAGCCAAGTGTGGTGGTGTACACCTGTAATCCTAGCTACTTGGGAGGCTGAGGTAGAAAGACTGTTTGAACCCAGGAGTTGGAGACTGCAGTGAGCCATGATAATGCCACTGCACTCCAGTCTGGGTGACAGAGTGTGAGACTTTAAATAAAAAAAAAGACTGGCCATGGTGGCTCATGCCTATAATACCAGCACCTTGGGAGGCCGAGGGGGATGGATCACGTAAGGTAAGAAGTTTGAAACCACCCTGACCAACATGGCAAAATTCCGTCTCTATTAAAAATGCAAAAATTAGCCAGGTGTGGTGGTGTACAACTATAGTACCAGCTATTCAGGAGACTGAGGCAGGAGAATCACATGAACCTGGGAGGCAGTGAGCTGAGATCATGCCACTGCACTCCAGCCTGGGTGACAGAACGAGAGCCCATCTCAAGAAGAAAATTAAAAAAAAAAAAAAAAAAGGAAAGAATGATTCCCAAATATTAAAAAAAAAAAAAAAGTAACAACTTAATAATGTCTTCATGCCTTTATCTTGTTCTTTCATTTCAAAGAGCCTTAAACAGTAGACCCATATTATTCACTGTTCATCATAACATCAATAAACGATAAGGACAGAGGATACAAAAATAACACAGGAATTATTATCCTCATTTGAGAGATGGAAAAAATTGAGGTCTAAGGAGGATTAAGAGTCTTCTCCAAGGTCAAAAGATGAGCTCCAGGTGGAGCATTCTCTCATGCGCTATATGTAGTCAATCAGTCAAAGCTGAGGCCAGGACAGTGGCTTATGCCTGCAATCTGAACACTTTGGGGGCTGAGGAGGGAGAATCACTTAAGTCCAGGAGTTTGAGACCAGCCTGGCCAACAGAGCAAAACCCCGTATCTATAAAAAATACAAAAAATTAGCCAGGCATGGTGGCACATTGCTGTATTTCACATGCTCAGAAGGCTGAGGTGGGAGGATCAATTAAGCCCAGGAGGCTAAGGTTGCAGTGAGCCATGATCGTACCGCTGTTCTCCAGCCTGGGCAACAGAGTGAGACCTTGTCTCTCTCTCTCTCTCTCTCTCTCTCTCTCTCTCTCTCTCTCTCTCTCTCTCTCTCTCTCTCTCTCTCACACACACACACACACACACACACCCCCATAATCCAAAGCTGAAAGGAGGCAGGATGGTTTTTTATACTTACTTTTTTCTTCTTTGTCTCTCCTTTAATCTGGAATGATAGATATCTACCACAGCCATCTTCAGAGCTATAAATAAATACACACACACACACACACACACATATATATATACATTATATATATAATATAGATAAATAAAACCAAGACGAAAATATATCTTTTACCCAAACTTTGAACCTCATATTGCTAATTATTCCACACTCACTAGTCTAGAAAATTTATCTTCTGGAATAAAAATATTGCAGCATAATTAATTTCTCTATCAGCAAATTATAATAAGGTTATTTTTCCCTATTTATATATTTTATGGCATTACTCAGTAGATTATAATTCTGCTTTTGGCAGTCATAAAAATGAATGAGATCGTGTCCTTTTTGCCAGGACATGAATGGAACTGGAGGCCATTAACCTTAGCAAACTAACATAAAAACAGAAAACCAAATACCACATGTTCTCACTTGTAAGTGGGAGCTAAATGAAGAGAACACATGGTCACATAGAGGGGAACAACAGCCACTGGGGCCTATCAGAGGGTGGAGGGTGGGAGGAGGAAGATCAGGAAAAATGAGTACTAGGCTTAATACATGAATGATGAAATAATCTGTACAACAAACCCTATAACACAAGTTTACCTATGTAACAAACATGCACACATACCCCTGAATTAACTGTTATGTATCTATTACTATATACAGTAAATGTCTGATCTTCGGTAATACATGTGCTAGAAATTCCATCAATTAGAGTGCTCATAAGAATGAATATTAGGCCAGGCATGGTGGCTAATGCCTATAATCCCAACACTTTGGGAGGCTGCGGTGGGCCGATCACCTGAGGTCAGGAGTTCAAGACCAGCCTGGCCAACATGATGAAACCCTGTATGGCAGGTAACTAATCCCAGCTACTCAGGAGGCTAAGGCGGGAGAATTGCTCGAAGCCGGGAGGCGAGGTTGCAGTGAGCTGAGATCATTCCACAGCACTCCAGCCTGGGTGACAGCGCAAGACTCCAGCCTGGGTGACAGCGCAAGACTCCATCTCAAAAAAAAAAAAAATTGGCTGGGTGCGATGGCTCGTGCCTGTAATCCCAGCACTTTGGGATGCTGAGGTGGGTGGATCACTTGAGGTCACGAGTTTGAGATCAGCCTGGCCAACATGGCAAAACCCTATCTTTACTAAAAATACAAATATTAGCTGGGCGTGGTGGCATGCGTCTGTAGTCCTGGCTACCCAGGAGGCTGAGGCAGGAGAACCACTTGAACCCAGGAAGCAGAGGTTGCAGTGAGCTGAGATCATGCCACAGCACTCCAGCCAGGGTGCTGCAACAAGATTCTGTCTCAAAAAAAAAAAAAAAGAATAAATATTGATCATGGTCATAATTACAGAGGAATAAGAGACAATATCAAGACAAGACTAATGTGAATAAAGATACAGTGTAGACATTTTCCCAGAGTAGTTTTCACTTGGGGAGCAGGAACTGTTACGGGTGTAGAGTTTTGTATTCTGTAGTGAAAAGTTCCATCAAGCAGCCTAACCAGTATAAAAGCCCTGCTTGGTTTCCCAGGTCCCAATCCTTTCCTGGGTTTAGTCTCATGTTAAAGACACAGGGAATAAGGAGGAAAGAGGCTATAAATAGTAAAAGTTTTAATCAATACAATAGTTCTGGTTCTTTCTTTCCCTAGCCACTCCTTTCATCTTCAGAGCCTCAAAGGTACTGTTCTCATTTTTCTTTTTACCCCTCGCCTTAGTTTCATAAACTCCTCTACTTCTATGGGTCCAAGTACCATCAAAATACATAATTTCAAACTCAGTATCTTTTTTTTTTTAGATGGAGTCTTACTCCATCAACCAGGCTGGAGTGTAATGGCACGACCTCGGCTCACTGCAACTTCCGCCTTCCAGGTTCAAGGAATTCTCCTGCTGAGTAGCTGGGACTACTGGCACCCACCACTATGCCCAGCTAACGTTTTGTATTTTTAGTAGAGACAGGGTTTCACCATGTTGGTCAGGCTGGTCTCGAACTCCTGACCTCATGATCCGCCTGCCTCAGCCTCCCAAAGTGCTGGGATTACAGGAGTGAGCCACTGTATCTGGCCTCAATATCTATTTTTAGCTCCAGTTGCTACTGGATATCATTACTCGCATGGCCTTCAGTTGTAAATTTCTACCCCTTTTCTATCCCCTAAAACTCCTAGATTGGGTAACATCATCACAGTAAATATAGCTGACCAAGATAGAAATCAATCTGGACTCTTCCTCCTTTTCTTCCATAGTCAATGAGTCTTAACTATACAGCACTTACCACTTAAATCTCTCAAATTTACCCCTTCATCCCTAATCCGATTCCCTAGCTCAGGCATCTTGTCTCTCCTGTCATCCTGATGCCATCTTGTAAGAGGCATCATTACTCACTTATTGACTCCATTCTTCCCTTACTCGAACTCAGCCCTTCCACATGGTACTTGAGAAATATTTTAAAGCACAGTGTAACGGTATAATTCCCTTGCTCATAACTCTTCAGTGGCTTCCCATCCACATACAGTTCAAATTCCTGTATATTATATAAGACTATTTACCATCTTGATTGTGCCTACCTTTCCACTCACTTTTTTTTTTTCCAGATGGAGTCTTGCTCTGTTGCCCAGGTTGGAGTGCAGTGGCACTCGCTCACTGCAACCTCCACTTCTTGGATTCAAGTGATTCTCCTGCCTTAGCCTCCTGAGTAGCTGGGATTACAGATGTGCACTGCCATGCGAGGCTAATTTTTGTATTTTTAATAGAGATGGGGTTTCACCATATTGGCCGGGCTGGTCTTGGACTCCTTGACCTCAAGTAATCTGCCTGCTTCAGCCTTCCAAAGTGCTGAAATTATAGGCGTGAGTCACTGTGCCTGGCCCCATTCTTGTTTCCTATCATTCTCTCATATGCCCTATACACCATGCACACAAAAACAAACGGCCCAATATCACACAGCTGTTAAGTACAGAGCAGAGATCCAAACCTAAGCAGTCTGGTTCCAGAGTTTTAAGTAGGAAACACTGAAATTGTTTAAATGTTTACTTTCTCTGTTACTCCTATATTCTAAATCTGACTTAATTGAAAATGAAATGTGTATTTTTAAAAACCTCAGAGGCAAAAAACTCCCACAGCCTTTTTACAGCCAGAAGACCTTAGGGTTAAGAAATGAATGCCAGATATTAACAATGCTAAAAGAAAATATGAGTAATGCAAAACTTAGAACTATGCTACATTAAACCTTTCTTTTCACCTATGGATTCTGAAAGCACCTTGAGATTTAATGATTGTAATAGATTCTGACATTGTCTTAATAATTTATCAATTAAGCTTTGCGTTAAGTTGAGCATTTGGTGTTTTTTGTTTTAATTACTCTATGTATTTATAGAAGAGGCTCTAACGCACAATATAACCTACCACGTGTCCTCTGAAAAAAATAAAATACGTTATTCAAATGTTAGGTAATATAATTTATACTTTTTTATAGTCCAATCTTTATTTAAGAATCTGATCTGCCAACTTGTTTTCCACCAACTGGGGAGCTGACACTTTCACAGGCTTCACAATCTTTTGTGTAGATGCTGCCTTTGTTTGGGTGCCTTACCAGCAACCATTGTGGTCTTTTTAGATGCTAACTTTGCCTTTTTGGCTTCCTTAGCAGGTCTGCTAGGTTGTTCTCATTGAGCCTTTTTAACTTCAGGTTTCTCATTCTCCTTGGCCATTATATTAGCAAGAGATGCAACCAGTAATTGCTCTCTGGAATTTGACTGCTCAGCAGGTTCTTTTCTTTTGAATTTCTTCCAAGTGTCCCTTTTTTGTGTTTTCCGTAAAGGACAGTCCAGTTTACCTGCTGAGGATTCCTCTTAGAAAGGAATGCCTTCAGCCAGGCGCAGTGGCTCCTGCCTGTAATCTCAGCACTCTGGGAGGCCAAGGTGGGTGGATCACCTGAGGTAAGGAGTTCAAGAACAGCCTGGCCAACATCGTGAAATGCTGTCTCTACTAAAAATACAAAAAATTAGCCGGGCGTAATGGCAGACACTTGTAATCCCAGCTACTTGGGAGGCTGAGGCAGGAGAATCACTTAAACCCAAGAGGTGGAGGTTGCAGTGAGCTGAATTCGTACCACTGCACTCCAGCCTGGTCAACAACAGCAACAACAAAAATCAGTTCTTTCAAGGTAGTAAGCTTCAATCTAAAATAGAGCCTAGAGCCTGTGGAATGCTGATTAACTCTGAACAGTAATACAATCTCACTCCTCATCCAAAGAATGTGAGATCCAAGTTCCAGTTTAGCCCATGAGGGAAACCAGTCAACACATATTTACATATTCTACTACAGTAAGTTTTAAACCATATTTTCAAGTAAATATTATTTGGAACAGATAAGTCAGATCTGCTCTAGCTGACCTCCTTCTGCCTGTTCTAGCTTCAGCTGCCTTTTCTAGAAGTGGTCCCTGAAGGTACCTCCATAGAACAATTGGAAGCCACACTTCTGCTGGAACTAAATTTTAGGGTAGAAAAAAAGTGGGACCCATCAAGTAAGAGAATAGAACACAATGGCTCATTAGAATCAACCATTTCTTTTATTACATGAAAACAAACAAAAATTGAGCAATGTACAATCCTGATGCACTGTTAATATAACAACCCTGATAATATAATAGAAATAAATTCTGATACCCCATACTGACTCATTACTGTGCATCTTACTGCTCCCTGGCCTTAAGATATTCTTTTTTTTTTTTCTCTTTCTCTTACTCTATCTCTACATCTCATCTGCAGGATATTCTTAGACTGGAAAGTTCAATACCAAAATCTTACATGCTGGGCTATGAGCAGATGTCCTATATATATGCATGTAACTTCAATCACTGGGAGATGTCCAGGAGCACTTTATCCAGGCCATTCTCCCTTGGGTCTGAGACAAAAATAACCTAACTCCTAGCTGGATAATCTGAAGAGGTGAGGAAATGCAGTATTTTAAAGTTTAAGCGTAAAAAAGAAAAATCAACTACCATGGATTATTTCTGTTCATTTCTAACAAGTTCAAATATT